TACGTGGATATATGCTTTCATTTCTCTTGGGTAAATTCTTTGGAGTAGAATTTCTGGGTAACATGATAACTGCGTGATAAGCGCATGTTTAACTTTATAAGAAACATCCAAAGAGTTTTCCAAAGAAGCTGAACCCACTTTGCATTTCAGCAGCAATGCATGAGAGTTCCAGTTGTTCCACATCCTCACCTACACATGGTATTTTCAGTCTTTTTAATTCTATCCATTCTAATGGTATCTTTCTGTAGTTTTGATTTTCATGTCTCTAGTAAAAAATGATGTTGAATATAATTTCTTGTGTTTAAGTTGCCATCCATATGTCAAGAGAAATAATTCTAAAGTTAGAAGTACAGGCTTAATTTTTACTTCTCCATATCTTGATTGTATAACTACATGTATGAACAATACCTTTACATCTAATTTGGCTATTCAATTCTCCTGAAGCACAATTTCTTTTTTACAGGCCTGCCTTAACTGCAGTGGAACCTGCATCCCACCATGCTGATTTTTAATGACACTGCCTCTGATTGGCCCACCTTCTCCTTCATTGGAATCCCTGGACTGGAGACTGCACATATATGGATCTCAATCCCCTTCTGTCTCCTGTACCTGGTGGCCCTTGTAGGCAATGCTCTGCTCCTTATTGTAGTCAGAGCGGAACAAAATCTTCATGAGCCCCAGTTTTATTTTTTGGCCATGCTCGCTCTTACTGATCTAGGCCTTTTCTTAACTATAATGCTTAGTGTCATGGCTATATTCTGGTTTGATGTCCGCCGCATCGGTCTGGATGCTTGCCTGATTCAAATGTTCTTCATCCACACCCTCTCCTCAGTAGAATCAGGTGTCCTGGTGGCCATGGCTTTTGACCACTTGGTAGCTATCTGCCCTCCACTAAACTACACCAGGATCCTGATCCAGTATACTGTTGCCTGCCTTAGTGCGGCTGCTCTCATATGAGTTGCCACTCTGCTGGCCCCCCTGCCTTTTTTCCTCAGGAACTTTCTTTTTTGTGGGGCCAATATCCTCTCACACTCTTACTGCTACTACCCAGATATGCTGAACCTGGTCTGTGGAGATGTCACTTTCGGCAGTGTCTATGGATTAGTTTTTGTGCTCTGCACATTTGCAATGGATGCTGTCTTCATCCTAGTATCCTACATAAAGATCTTGGGTAGTATTATGAAGCTGGGGGCCCAGGACAGAAACTGGCGATCACTGCAGACCTGTGCCTGTCACCTGTGCACAGTGTTTGTGTTTTATCTGCCCCTCATCAGTCTGGCAGTGCTGCATCGTTACACCCAGGACACTTCCCCAATTCTGTACACCACCATGAGCAATGCCTACCTCCTCATGACACCCCTGCTCAACCCTCTGATCTACAGTCTCAAATCCCAACAGATTCAGGCTGCCCTGCGCAAGTGATTTTGGGTGCAACGTGTCATTGCTGGCAAGTGACATTTTCTCTGTATCAGAGGGAACAACCAATTTTAAAAAATGCTATTCAGAATCTACTACGTGCCAACTAGTATGCTAGGCACCATGAACTCAGAAAGGAAAAATGTCCAAGTCTACCCCTCAAGAAACACATAATCTAACCAAGAAGGTGAAAGGGAAGTGGAATACTTAAATGATCAGAACTGTGATGATGAATGATAACAGTTTGGTAATGATAAGGAGAAAGGGCAATAGGAACCCAAGCTTAGTGTTTTTTTGGAAGTGAGTTGGATGAGAATTACTTTAAGCCATTAAGATGAAGGGCTTGACTCTAAACTCTAAAAGATCAATGAGGGACTTATTTTATAGAGAAACCAAGATGTCACTTGACTCTTGGTTGCCCATGCTGCTTGAGATGAGACATTAGAAATCCATTCTTGATGATAAATTTTTGAATGTATGTTTGATATTTCTGTTTCTTATATCGTTGGATATTAGTTAATGTTATGAATATTCTAGCTATTAGCAAAAGATAAAGAAGGTCTCTGAAAAGAAATAATCTAATTCCTAAACGATAGTCAAGCAATCAATCAGACCCAAAACAAAACAAAATCAAACCCGCTGTCATTGAATCCATTCCAACTCATAGTGACCTTATAGGACAGAGCAGAAGTGCCCCATAGAGTTTCCAAGGCTGTAAATCTTTGTGGAAGCTGACTGCCACATGTTTCTCCCATGGAGCAGCTGGTGGATTCAAACAGCACACCTTTCAGTTAGCAGTTGAGCACTTTAACCACTGTGCCACCAGGGCTCCTAATCATTCAGAGCATATTTTAAATATTACTGTGACATATTTACTAGGCATCAACTTCATACAGAAGACAAAAACATAATACTCACACAGCTTACATTCTACTAATGAAAATCATGGAGCAGCAAACCATGAAACAAAATACATATATAATTAATGAGATTATGGGACTTGGTTAGAACTGTTACATGAATGCAGAGAAAAGTAACCTAGTGAAGTCTGGGTTTGTTAGGAAGTGCTACTTGGAAGAGTGAGAAAGGACCATGAGGGGAAAAACCATGGAAGCTTGAAATTTATCTCAATTCCAAAAGCATTCATTTAGAGGTGATTTTTTATACATTAAAGGGAAAGAAGGTATCAGTCTAAAAAATAGTATGGTCTTTGTCTTCAGTAAGAGATCATTCAGGAAGTGTAATGAACACCCTTAAAAAAACAAAATAATATTCTGACTCATAAGCTGTTTCACCAATTTTAAAATCTAATTTAATCATTTTTTTTTTTATGGTCATTTCCAGTCAGAAGTCATTTTAACTCTGACTTGCTCAGACCTGAGTATAGAGAATTGTAGACAATTGCTCAGAAATTGTTCCATTTTTTGCAAACAGAAGACACTTTTTCTTTGGAGAACTTTTCACTTACCTGTATGATTTGGGTAAAACTAACAATGTCAGTATTCTAACATATCCCTCCTCTAATCTTTCAGCTACAGAGATTACCAAACGAAACCAAACTCGTTGCCTTCAAAGGGATTCCAGCTCATAGCGACCCTACAGGACAGAGTAGAACTGCCCCATAAGGTTTCCAAGCAGCCGCTGGTGGATTCGAACTGTCGACCTTTTGGTTAGCAGCCTGAGCTCTTAACACGGTGCCACCAGGGCTTCAACAGAGATTAACAATTGAATAAACAACTTTCCCTGGGATTTTTATGCTAATGTAAAATATTTTCCATTCTGTCTGTATTATAGTCTGACTCAGAACCACTTGTGATCAACATCTTTCCTAGCTGTATGAAGGAAGTTTGTCTACATTAGGAGAAAATGAGTACAAAACAAAAATATAAACAGATATGAGAGGCTGCTGCAGAAAGGGCATGACAGTGTTGAGTCCTTAAGCTTGGGGTCTCTGGAGTCCCTCCTTTGATTCTGTGACTTATGACTTATCCTGGTATCCCTCTCAAACATGTACACCAATAAATTTCATCTTTTACATAGGCTATTTTGGTTTGCATTTTTAAATAATGAGGCATTTTAAGGGAATGTTCTGGTTCATATGTGGTGGATTGGGACATACATTAAGTTCTATTTGGCAAATTTATTCCTCTTTTATCTGCTTCATCAGACAGTAAGTCCCTAAATGGTGGCATCTTTGTCTGATTTTTCTCCCCGATGAGTAGCATATGATTAATGCTCAGAATAATTGCATAAAGATCAAAAGAAGGAGGGGCAGAGGAAAATGGTAGGAACAAAGGACAAAGGGAGAAGAATAAGAAGGGTTATACGCGGCTAATGAATCAATACATTAACAATTCATGAATTAATGTTTTTGATGAAAAATGGGTGGAATAATGACTTAATACAGTGTCTAGCTCTCCCTATGGCATCAGTATGTGTAAAGAAATTGACGTCTATCCCTGATGTGCAATGACAATATTGGGCAGATAAATATAATATGCACAATTACAAAATGGGCACACCTAGCCTAAACACTTTAACACATTTGCAAATGTACACATTCCAGGAAAAATTATATAGTGAGGAAATTACGCATGTATATTTGAACCAGAGAACAACTATATTATTTTCTGGTTACCTTTAATATCACCATCTGAGTGACAGGAGAATTTACTCTTCTGAATCTATCTTTAAATTCTGGCTTTGTTTATATCCTCTATCATACTTTTGGCTTATAATAATAATGGCTAATATTTATTGAGCATTTATTATGTGCCAGGCACTGTTGTGAAGCTGCCACATAAATTATCACATTGTTTCTTAAAACAACCTTAGAAAATGTCATTATTAACTCCATTTCACTGGTGAGAAAACTGATGCATGGAGAGCCTGGATCACTATTTTCCTTAGATGACATATCAGATAAGTTACAGAGTCCTGTTTTTAGTTTATATGCTTATCTTTAACTAACTATAAAATCTAACTGAATATAATCTGAATAACTGAAATATACTTTGCGTGGAAGGGCAAATTTTAGGCACACTGTTTTGTTTTATTTTTGCTTTAATTTCTCACTTATTTTTTATGTTATGTCAGGGTAGTCACAGAATAAATATTTTAAAACAGATAAATTTAAATAAAACTGGGAAAAAATAAACACTCTTTATTCTCATTTGGAATATCTGCCCATACAGTATCTCAAACTCTCCATCAATTGTAAATCTCTGGATAACGATATACATATTTGGTTTTAGACAGATTTGAGCCATAGCTATGTATAAGGGATTCTCATATAGAAAATATTTAGCGCACTATCTGGATTGAAGTGAGCTACCATAAGGTAAATGGTATGAACCATAGGAAAGACAAACATGGAGTGAAGGTACAAAAAGTTTTATAAGTCTCTTCATGGTATAATATTTAAAACTAGAAGGAAATGTCACATTTCCAGAAGATTGTACCATGCAGAAGCGTACCAAAGGGCGTACTTCAGCCATACAGGGAAACAATGTTTGTTCCTCCTTCTTTGCTCAACATCCCTGGTACCTTTCAATCAACTCCTCAAAGAGACCCATTCTGCTCTTTTATTTCACCTTCAGTGCAAACAGTCTACACATCACACTTCTAATCTGTTTTGTTTTCACACTGTACACCAGTGAGTTCAGGACAGGTGTAAGAAAAAGAAAAATATTGGACATGGTGAAATGGGGGAGAGGGGAGTGGTATCTGCCTATCCTGCAGATCAAAGCTAGAGCAATAAGTGGGACATAGAAAATGAGGACAGTGAGAATACGGGAAACACAAGTGTTGAGTGCCTTAAGCTTTCCTTCCCTGGATGCAATGCCCAAAACTGTCTTCAGGATTAGAGCATAAGAAAGAACAATAAAGACAGAGTCAACACCAAAGGAGCAGAGAACCAAGGCCAGTCCATAGATGATGTTGACACGAATAGACCCACAAGCTAGTTTCATCACATCAGGGTGGAAACAGAATGAATGTGATAGGATGATGCTTTTACAGAAGGGAAGCCGTTTGAGCGAGATAGGCAAGGGGGCCATCAGTGCCACTCCCTGTGCCACAGCAGCCAAACCCATCTGTGTAATGTGGGAGTGGGTCAGGACCACAGTATAGCACAGGGGGTTTCTTATGGCCACAAAGCGATCAAAGGCCATGGCCAGCAGGATGGCTGACTCCATGGAAGAGAAGGCGTGGATGAAGAACATCTGGGCCAGGCAGCCATGGAACTCAATCTCTTGGTGATTGAGAAGAAAGACACTAACTACAGTGGGCAGTGTGGATGCTGACATGCCTGTGTCAGTGGCTGCCAACATGGACAGGAATATATATTGGGGGTCATAAAGGCTGGAGTTCTTTCAAATTATGTGAATAATGATGCTGTTTCCGAGGATGGCAATTACGTACATGATGCTCAGTGGGATGGAGATCCAGATATGAGCATCCTCCATCCCTGGGATGCCTGAAAGAAGAAAGAAGGGTGGCTGGTAGCTGGTGCCATTGAACGTGGGCATGATGGTCAAGACTAAAAAAGAGAACATGTGCAGGACAGTCAAGCAGTAAAGTTCATTCAAGTTTATTCAGTGGTCAAAGAGAGAGTCTAGGAGCAGAGGTAAACTAAGTATCTGTGGCATATAAAATAGAGTCATGCTGATTTCAGAGTAATTCAACAAGCCTGTTTGATTATAATACATCTTGGTGACTTTCTTTTGCGATCTACCTTATGTGGGGTTCAATGAGCATCTTGGATACATATCTTCTCATCTTTCACAATATCAGGGAAATTTTCTGCCAACATATCTTCAACAATTCTCTCTGTATTTTCTGTTATCCCCCAGTTCTGGTGCCCCAGTCACTCGTAGGTTATTCCTCTTGACAGAATCCTACATAATTCTTAGGGTTTCTTCATTTTTTTCAATCCTTTTATCTGATTTTTCCTCTCGTAAGTTAGTGTCAAGTGCTTTATATTCAGTCTTACTATTTCTGACTTCCATTGCCTCAGTTCTGCTCTTATGACTTTCTATTGAGTTGTCTAATTCTGGCATTTTATTGTTAATCTTCTGGATTTCTGATTGCTGTCTCTCTATGGATTTCTTGCAGCCTGTTAAGTTTGTCATTGTGCTCTTCTCTGATCTGTTTAATTTCTTCTATTGCTTTTTATGCATTTTGCTTGATTTCCTTCCTGATCTCTTGAAGAGTTCTGTATATTAATCTTTTGTATTCTGCCACTGGTAATTCTCAAAAATTTTCTTCCTACAGACAATTTCTAGATTCTTTATTTTGGGAGTTTGCTGAAGCCGTCATAGTCTGCTTTTTTATGTGATTTGATATTGACTGTTGTCTCTGAGCCATCAATTATTTATTATTTATTTATTTTATGTTTGCTTACTGTGTCCTAGCTTCTTGTTTTGTTTTGTTTTGATATTCCCAGATAGTCTGCTTGTGTGAGCTAGCCTAATCTCCAGTGCCCCTGAAGCTTTAATGTCCTGCCACCAGGTGGTCAGAACTGCCACTAAGTATGTGAGCCTTCTGGTGACTTTATCTCCTCCTACTATCAAACTACAACTATGTGATAGACCTTAAGCAAGAACTATCCAGCTGAGCCTAGTCAACTCACGGTAACTGAAATATACTAATAAATGTGATTGTGAGCAATTCAAGATGGATTATTACATAGCAATCCTAACTGAAAAACATAACAAGTAAATGTTGATATGAGAATTCTAATTCAAGTCATCTTACTTCAGCTTTGGAACCCATTTAGCAAAACAATCTACTGTATCCTCTCTACATGCAAGTATTTAGCATTGTCTATTAAAAGATGTTATTAACAACATTGTTTAAAATAGTGAAAAACTGAGAGAAATACAAATGTACATCAGTGGGGAATTTATTGAATAAATTATGTTACTTCTGTGTGAAATAGAATACAATAGGACTTTATGGAGCCAATGAAAATACTAATTTATATCTATATCTTGACATGAAAATGCCCAATATATATATTTTAAGTCAAAAGCATATTATAAACCAGTATGATTTTATTTAACTTTGATTATCTGTGAGTAGCAGGATTATAGATGATTTCCAATTTCTTTTTATTTTTTACAGCAACTTAATGTTTTGCTATGAATAAAATGTAATGATAAAAGAAGCTATTTATTTATTTTTAAAAGTAAAAAATTCCTAGGAAGAAAATGTTACACATATAACACACAGAAAGAAATCTACACAGCACACAAGTATACAGAGATGTAAGTATCCTAGACAATGCATTTATTCCAGCATTAAAAGAATAACATTGCAACAAATTGAAGTATCTGTCCAAAATGCAAAACATAACAAAAAAAATAATAGCTCATTTAAAAAATATGTCAAATGAGTTTAAAGCCTCTTTCTTCTCTGTCTAAATTAGCAAAATGTAATATATTTGTATATGTCTCTAATTTTAAAAAGAAAAAAAAACAAGGACATGAAGATGTGTGGGAAGATAATAATATTAGAATTAAAGAAGTATAATATTACCTACCCCTTTAAATGGATCTCTCATTTTCTTCAGTATTCATTTTTTCTGCAAAAAAGTGAGGTAGTAATATTCTATATTCAATCTGTGTCGTCCTGGATAACAAGCTCCAACACAGATTTTTTTTTTCATTCCCTCAATTGAATGATCTTCTCAGATAATGTCTCTGAAGATTGATCAAAAGATTGATGTTCACCCTCATCTGAGTTTAAGAGAGATTATGGCAGGAGGTCAGAAACAAGAATTTCAGCAAGCAGGAAAAGCTGACACTTTGTGTTATATCTCACACTGTCATTTGATTTCCCACTAAATATCGTGACCCATTCATCTACGGGTTTCAGAGTGTTTGCAACCCTGTTCCCTTTCCCTTCTCTAAGAAAATTAGTTCTGATAATTGACCTTCCCTGGCCCCAGTGCTGCCCTAGTTTTTCAAGTGACTTTGTTTTGCATAATGATGCTGTTTTTAAACATCCCTGATTCAATCCAGTACCTAGGGTCCATCGTGCATTCATCTAATTTGTGGAAATTATGGGGTATGAGCAGATTCATGTTGTACCTGTGGAATGGAGGGTGTGTGTGTGTGAGAGAGAGTGCCCCAGTGATGAAATTTTCTGCTTAATACCTCAGGCTTCCACAGGGGTTAGCAGCTAAGGCAATAAATATTTCTATCAGAAGACAGTCATTGATACCAGAGTGTCAGCTCCACCTGGGCTCTTGAATGGTAAACATAAAGGTAACCTACACTTTTTGTGCCTGGTAACATAAACAGGATATGCTTGAAAATAAAACTAGCAGAAGCAAAATATACCAGTGAACATGTTGGAGTCAGAAACTGTCCGTAGTCTATGAGCATTGAAAAGCTCTTTGGTGGCACTCTTGTTCAACTTTTATTATTCTTGGGTACAATGTAACCACCTTACATAAGACAATACTGCCTATATTGAGAAGCCTGTATTAGGAAGACATTTGTTATGCACAGGTTATAGAAAGTAGATATAAGTGATACCATGAAAAATTGGTGTTATACCAGTGGTTAAACACAAATAATTTTGATTCCGTCTTCTAAATATAGTGTGATATCACACACTTTCATCCATTTTGGCATATCTAAGTCTTAATCAAAATCCAATAACTCTTTCATAGACTATAGGCTCATCACTTGTTTCCATTTATATATTATCAATCTCCAAACCATTTTCCTTAGAGAGAGCACAATAATCATTCTAAACTGCAAATGAATCATTTGAAATATCATGTTTAAAAACCTTCTGTGCATTTACAGAGCTCTTCCCAAACTGTTACCTCTAAATTTTATCCAGGATCACCATCATTTTATTCACTTTCTGTGTCTCAGCCACTTGTTTATGTCAATATCTTAGGAAGAACATGAGATAAATTTCTTTCTACATTTACAGAAGGGAAGAAAGAGTAATAAGCACTTGGTTGTATGTCATTGTTATGAAGTAGACTTTTAAACATCATTTTAAATATTTCTTTAGTTTTCCTGTGTGTGTGTTGGGCAATTACAAGTTTTTTTCCTATTGCTTTTCTATAAAAATTATGCTGCAAAACTTCTACAGTTATTTGGTTTATATCAAGTGATATGCATATTTAAAATCCCATAGCAACCTGCATTCCCATTAGGCTCAATTCAGAGAGACCTCCTAGAAGAATACTTCAGTAGACTTGGCAAGATTGATAGATAGATAGATAGATAGATAGGTAGATAGGTAGATATAGGTGTAGGTGTAGGTATAAGTATAGGTATGTTGTTGTTGTTAGGTGGTGTCCAGTCGGTTCCGACTTATAGCGACACTATAGTAGAACTGCCCCATAGGGCTTCCAAGGAGCGGCTGGTGGATGCAAACTACCAACCTTTTGGTAGCAGTCGTAGCTCTTAACCACTAGGCCACCAGAGCTAGAGATATAGGTATAGCTATATAGATACATCGATATGTAGATATATATGTATTTTTTTTCTCAGCTGGAGTAATGTGTAGGAAACTCAAGAAAGTTATCACATTGGAGAGATAATTATTGAGAAATAATTTCTAGCATTTGTTTACTTATTTAAAGTAGAAGTTTTTTTTAATTTGTTATATTTCAAATGCCAGGGAAAAATACAAGTATATTAAATTTTAAAAAAGGATTACATCGTATCTAAATAAGTGGGAGAGAAAACAAGAGGCTATCACTTTATTAAAAATAAAAGAATTTTTTTCTAAGAGGTCAGGCAAGTGAAGTGTATTCACTAAGTAACATGAATACTAAATCTATGTGACCATATTCCAGTTAACATGGGAGAGTATTAACTTGAAGAACTTAAAGTGTCTCCTTTCACTCATAAGAGTCTCTCATAATGAATACTTTATTATTGTAAATCTAGCTTTTGTTGATCTTGGTAAGAAACATTTTAAGAATAAATTGCAAGAAAATAAACAATATTATGAAATATACAATGTGAGGTGAATATATTTTAAAAATTTGTATGAGATTTCTGATTTTGAAGGGAAAAATAAGGTGTTGGTAAGAATAAGTTCCAAACATGACTGTTTTATTTTGATTTCTAAAATGGAATACACTGCATATAGAGAAAGAGGGGGGAGAGAAAGAGAATGACAAAGGGAGAGAGAGAGAGAGAGCTCCTGAGTGCCACAAATGGTTAAGTGCTAGATTACTAACTGAAAGGTTATTATTAACTCTTTCAAGACCCAACTATTTTCTCCTTTGACTTTTTTGATGATACTATGTGTTTTCCTCTGATGCGTCTGTCAGTTTATTCTGCTGTGGGGGCTTGCATATTGCTGTGATGCTGGAAGCTATGCTACTGGTATTCAAATACTGCCAGGATCACCAATGGTGAAAAGTTTCAGTTGAGCTTCCAGACTAAGACAGACTAGGAAGAAGGGCCAGGCGGTCTACTTCAGGAAAAAAAAAAAAAAAATTAACCAGTGAAAACCTTACGGATATAGTGCTAGAAGATGAACCCCT